TGCGGGATCCCACATACAAACCTCGGAAAAGCAACAAACCTGGTTCCAACGCGCTCGCGCGCATACGCAAATCTCATTAGCACATCGAACACCTTTCCCGCTACCCACGACCGTCGTTCCATTACCGTAGCCATGGATCGCTACGGGAAGAAAGACCACGAGCTCGCCGAGAGCTCGGATGAGAAGCCCATCGACTCCCAGCTTGAGCAGGCGCAGATGCTTGCTGATCTGCCCGATCCCGACGCCGGAAAGTCTGCGGAGGAGCGTGCCGCAATCGTACGTGTGCTCCCTCCCCCGGCGGATGAGTGATGAGGTCGTGAAGCCTTCAGTCACTCATCCGCCCTTCATTGAGACAACGAAAGAACTGAGTCCACTCATGCTAACTCATCTTTCCTTTTTAGGACAAGAAGCTCATGTGGAAGGTCGACCTTTGGCTAGTCCCTTGGCTATCCCTCCTTGTAAGACACGATCTTCCCTCTCACTCAACTCATCCTTGGAGACTGGACGCGTGAGAAGCTGCGCGCACATAATACGATTGACGGTATACTAATTCCCTATTTCTTCATAGTACCTCCTCTCCTTCCTCGACCGAACCAATATTGGCAATGCGCGTCTCGCCGGCATGGAGGACGACCTCAAAATGAGCGGCACCGACTACAACATGTCGCTCACCATCTTCTTCATCAGCTACGCCGTCTTCGAGCCCGCCACCAATGCCTTGCTTAAACGCCTCACACCCCGCATCTTCTTCACCGGAATCATCATCGTCTGGGGTATGATCATGACGCTCATGGGCCTGTGCACCAACTTTTCCGGTCTTCTTGCGGCCCGCTGGTTCCTCGGTATCGCTGAGGCCGGTCTCTTCCCTGGTAAGCCCGCTATTTTATCATGCTCTCACAGAAACCTATTGTTGTGAGATCTCAGAGGCTGATATGAGACACTAGGTGTCAACTACTATCTCTCTTGCTGGTACAAGGGGTCCGAAATCGGTGTCCGCTCCGCCGTCTTCTTCTCCGCCGCCGCTTTGGCCGGTTCCTTCGGCGGTCTCCTCGCTGCAGCCATCGCCAAGATGGACGGCATCGGCGGCAAGCCCGGCTGGGCCTGGATTTTCATCATCGAGGGTCTGGCCACCGTCTTTGTCGGCATCTTCTGCTGGTGGATGGTCTTCGATTGGCCCGAGGGCGCTCGCTTCCTTACGCCCGACGAGCGTATCCGCGTCCAACGTCGTCTCATCGCCGACAAGCAGGGCCGCACCGCCGAGGACTTTGACAAGCGCCATATCTACGCTGCCATGAAGGATTGGAAGACGTACGGCTACATGGTCATCTACATGGGCTGCCTCGTGCCCCTCTACGCCTTCTCCCTCTTCCTGCCTACCATTCTCCGCGCTATGGGTCACCAAGGCACCAAGGCTCAGCTGCTTTCTGTCCCACCTTACGCCGTTGCTGCCGCTCTTACCGTCACTGTTGGTGTAATTGCCGATAAGACCCGCTGGCGTGGATACTGCAACGTCGCGACTGTCACTATTGGTATCGTCGGATTCGTTATGCTGATCTCCACGACCAACCCCAAGATCCAGTACGCCGGAACTTTCCTCGGCGCCGCTGGTATCTACCCGACCATCTCAAATACCCTCTCTTGGGTCATCAATAACACTGAGGGGTCTCTCAAGCGCGCCTTCGTCCTCGGCATGGTCGTCGGCTGGGGTAACCTAAACGGTGTTGTCTCCTCCAACATCTACCTCAAGGCCGAGGCGCCTCGTTACCTCACCGGCCACGGTGTTGTCTTGGGCTACCAAATTCTGTTCCTCCTCGGTGGATCTGTCTTCATGCACTTCGCACTTAGAGTCTCCAACAGCCGCCGCAGAGCCGGCAAGATGGATGCTCAGTGGGCTGGTATGACTGATGAGCAGAGATGGGTCGCTGGAGACAAGCGTCCTGACTTTATGTACACGCTCTAGGTGCTATATGGTGCTTTGATTTGCTATTACAGCTATAGAAATCGGGTCACGTGGTGTGAGCCCTGCGTTCAAAGATTGAGTTACATAGTGTCTCTAGAGCGCTTTTCTGTACATTCTTTGTCTTTGTGAAGTCAACGATACCAATTCAACATTTACCCTTGAGCTTACGCTACATGTCTCTCCAAATGTGTCTAGTTTAGGATTTGATTCTAGGAGGCTTCTTTGAGAAGCAGAGGATTTATCAATACAGGACGTCAAGCTATTATGGATTGTTCTGGGAGAATACAAGCCCAATCCGGGTTTCTCCATTCGCTCCTGAAGCTCATCCTGCCGGTCATCACTAGGATTTTTCTTAGACGATGCTTGAGAAGATGTCAAAGTTTTAAACGCTTTTGAAGTCATAGACTTTTAAGCATCGCTGCTTGCCATGGTGATAGTTTCCTGTATCAAATCACCCATAAATCCGTGAAACATCGGTCAGGCTAGTGCTTTTGTGAGTTCTGGCAGGTGTCCGGGAGGTTTGAAGCCGGATCCCTATCTATTATCCTTTTTCCCGCGCTCCGTGCATGTTATCCGCTTTCTGTCTGAATTATCCCCTGTCATATCGAGATGTGAATTGGTATGTCGTAAAAGGGTTATTTTGCATTTGCTCTTTTACGCAGGCTACACCCTCTCCATTTCCGTGACCGGTAGACCCCAGCCTTCATCTTCTGCGTCTGAATTTACCAGGCAGCAACAAAACTAAGAGGCGTAGTGTAGTACATTGGAAGCTCTATGTTTGCCATCCGGCCACAAGGATTCTTTCCGTTCTGGTCCATGTAGCTCCTCTCAACGAAAAGACGTACATCATAACCATGGACTTCTAGGCGGAGATTGAACAGCCACTAGCCTCTGAAGGACTATATGATATCGCAGCAATACAAGAAACAAATATTCGTGTTTCTTTCCCTAAATTGCAAGAAAGGGTTGCCAATAGTATTCATTCTTGCTATCCCTACGGCACCACTCCTTTCAGGATAATGTGTGACGCTCTGATTGCACATATAGCATCAGCACACATGGAAGAAGATGGCTCAAAGATATGGGTCGAAACACTTGCTGAGTCTAGGGGCCTGGTAGCGACTGAATCTCCCTGTTGGAAGCCAAACGCTGGACTTTCCGCTAACGCCTCCTGAACAGACTCGATATTTGCTGTTGCAATCGCCGCTCTATTGGAGATGATCCCAGAGCTCTCATCGTGTCTAAGATATTGATGCGGTTCAATTCAGTTGTAGACCAAGGTGATAGCCACTTGTTCTTCCCTTTCGATTCCCCTCCTAGGAGCACTACAGGACTGGGACATCGTGTCTTCCACAAGCTGACCTTAGCCGAGACTATACAACATAGTTCTCTCCACTCCATCCAGAAAGGGAAACCTCTACGCGAGGACTTAGGGATAAAGCTTCAGCTGTCTTCCTTTCAGCGAGCTGTATGGACTTGTAGAAGACAGCCGTAAAGGATTTCTCGGCGAGCTGTTTCTTCGGATATACAGACTATCGTTCAAGTGGATTGTAAGTGTCCGGCGATGACAGGGACATCAGGCCGATCTCACTTGTCATTAAACTCTTGACCTCCAGGCGGAATTGTCTGCGTAGGTCTGTTTGTCATCGGGGTAGTAATACGCCCTCTTGATGAGCATGTCCGAGATTAGGCCAAAGAAGGCCACTAGCATACTATCTAGTATGCAACCACTGTGTTCTTAGTTTTGATGACGTTGTTGAAAGTGAAGGGGCAGACGTACTGTGCCTTGACGCAGGTGCCAATTATGTTCCTCCACGTAAGGTAAAAACCTCTCTTGCCTTCGACGTGCGTGGCGTCCAAGAGAATTCCTTTCAAGGTACGAGGTGAAGCAAACACCGGTACAGATAAAACGTCGCGAGGCGCGACTGACGCCAGATGCGAAACATCCAGACATGCTGCAGCGTTGGTCCAGAATTCATAGAGGTTGATCCGCTGGGCTGTTCTGAGTACAAGTCGAATTTGGAATTCTGGGGTGCGTTTTCGCCTAGCGGTGAAGTTCCCGGCACCGCCTCCAATACCGCTTGGTAGCGGCGGAAGTCCGAGTCAGTCGGCGCCGTGGAGTGAGCGACCGCCGCTGCGGCCCCGACCATGGTTCTCTCTTACGTGGGCTAGGAGTTAGGTGTGTGAGGGGTAGAGCAGAACGAATAGCACCACACGGCTCCGTGTGACTCGATGGTTGCGAATTCCTGTCTGCACGTCACTGACTAGAAATCGTTACTCGTGACTAGATCTGAATCTTAGGTGAGATCGTGTCAGACTAGAAGTGAACTAGCGGATGGATGGCCACGTGGGAGGACAAGGTATGCAGATTGTAACGTTCGGAGTAGGCATGAGGTTCAAGAGATACGGCCTAAGCCACGTCTGAGAAACATTCATAATGATAGCTTTGAAAATGGTACGAAGCTCGCTGAACGGGGAACGCGGAGACACACTGATGGGCTACGGACCGCATTGTAAAAGGACTACCATTTCCCCAAGTCCGGCAAACTCAGGAGCTTGCCGCCGGCTACGGACCCTTTTGCCGGTCGTGACCAGGATGCGACAAACCGTCGTGGGCAGAATTTCCGACCAGGTTTTCTTGTGTGTTGGCTTGGGCGGCTTGTCACCCTCATCCCAAGATCCTCATATGCACTAACCCGAGTCAAACGGCTTTTTAGTCTGTGTTGCTTGACTCTTACTCTTAACACCTCGCTGATAAACCACTGGCAGAATCGATCTCCTCATCATTACGTGCTCGAAGGGAACCGGCCCCTCCTCCACTTGTCAGCCAAGATGGCCATTTCGGGCTTCCTGCGTGCTGCATCACGACAAGGTTGGAATTGGCATCGCGTTGGCTATCATTGGTGATACTTCCGTATAAGAGCCTCGAGGCATCCCCGCCGCCAACCCCAGTCCTTCTAGCTTCGGTAACTCTCGTAAGACTATCCTGAGATTGCATACGCTCGCTACATACCCACAACTATAATCACCATACCCGACAATGGCCCTATTGCAGATCCTATCCGTGCACAGGACACGGCTTGCCGCGATGCTGCTTCTCTTCCTCCTCCTCGCCGCCGTCACCGTCCATACCCTACGGACCCGGCGCACGCGCACGCGCCTCCGCAAACTCGGAACCCACCAGGGCCTCCCGCTCCCGCCCGGCCCCCCCGGCGAACCAATCCTCGGCCACCTCCGCATCATCCCGACCGACAACCCGGAACACGCCTACGCCGCCTGGTCAAAAGAATACCGCTCCGACATCCTCTCCTTCAACGTCCTAGGCCAGCCCATCATCGTCCTCAACTCGGTCCGCGCCGCCGTCGACCTGCTCGATAAACGGGGCGCAAACTACTGCGACCGTCCGCGCTTCGTGCTATTCGAGGAGATGGGCTGGCGCAAGACGCTGACGTTTATGCGATGGGGCCCGGAGTTTCGTATGCATCGCAGTATCCTGCAGCGGAGCTTTTCCAAGACGAGTGTGCAGGTGTATCGCGAGCTGCAGGAGAAAGAGGCGTTGGTTTTGGTCAAGGGGATTATACGAGACCCTGGGTCTTGGGAGACGGCGCTGCGGAGGTTTGCGACGGCTATTGTGATGAGGATTGGATTCGGTGTGAATGTTGAGAGTGATACCGACCCGTACATCCAAATGGCCACGGATGCATCCTACGCACTCGGCCATGGTGGAGCGCCGGCTGGGACGCTGGTCGACTTCTTCCCGTTTGTACGGCATCTGCCCGACTGGCTGGTCCGAGACCGATCACTCCGCTTCGCGCGGACCTGGAGCTGGGCGATCCGCCAGATCCACGATGCCCCCTACGCCGCCGTGACAGCCAAGAGGACCCAGGACCAAGAACACAGTCTCACTAAAATGCTGCTGGAGCAGAGGACAGAGCAGATCAAATCCGGCATCCCCCCGGAGCTGTCGGTAGATGACATCAAGGGCGCCGCGGCGGCGGTCTACGCTGCGGGACAGGATACGACGTGGTCCACGCTGGTAGTCTTCGTCCTCAATATGGTTTTGCACCCCGAGGTCCAGGAAAAAGCGCAGAGGATGCTGGACGAGGTTGTCGGAGATGGGAGGATGCCTTGTTTCGAGGACAGGTCGAGGCTACCCTACATTGACTATATCGTCCAGGAGACGCTGCGGTGGTGCCCCGTCTCCCCGATTGGCGTGCCGCACCGCTCGCTGGAGGATGATGTATATGATGGCATGTTCATACCCAAGGGATCGTTCGTGTACGCCAACGCGCGGGCGATGACGCACGATGAGCGGACGTATGCTGATCCCGAGGCGTTTGACCCGGAGAGATACGTTCCTGTTGAGCAGGGCGGCCGCGGGGAGCCGTTTCCTGTGGGGCAGTTTGGGTTTGGGAGGAGGGTTTGTGTTGGAAAGCATCTTGCGGAGGCGAGCGTTTGGATTGTGATTGCTTCGATGCTCGCGACGGTCAAGATTGAGGGGGCGAGAGGGCCGTGGGGAGAGGAGATTATACCGCGTGTGGAGTTGACGAATGGACTTACGAGTCATCCGAAGCGATTCCCGTGCCGGATTATACCCAGGAATACTCGAAGTGCAGAGATGGTTATTTCAGCAGCTTTATAGGTGTATCCTACTGAGGGATTATAGAACAAGTGCATTGTAGTATGATTTGCTTGCCTAGCTGGTTATCAGTGCCAAATGTTGTAAATATTCCCTAAACGTCGGACGCTACCCGACGAACTACCTGGAACGATACTATGTAAACTACTAGTAGTCTTTGAATACTATAACACCAATCACGTGCGGTTCTGTCTGGCTACAGCTTATTCCCTTGGCGATAGCGGAATTATCGAATATTACTAGTGTCCAAGATTCAAGGAGATATTGAGTGACTATCAAACTAAAAGTACAACTTCAGACAAAGGAGATCTATAGAATCGACTATGGCCATCCCTGCTATGGTATCATCAAACTCGTGAATCAGGCATAAGCCACCAACGCCAATCTACCCCAATCGTTTAAATGAGTGTGTCTGTGATATTATCAATCATCCCTTACTTGGAACCGTTGACCTTGCCGCCGTTCTCGCTCTGCATAGCCTGCATACCGGCATTCATCTTTCCAAATTGCCACTCAGGCAGCGTAATGCCAGTCTGCTCGTTGATGGTCGTCATCAGGGGAGGCAGCATCTGGTAGACATTGCGCATGGTATCGATGCCAGAGTTGCCACCACCCTCGCCAGAACCTTGGCTGCCAGTGTTCCAGACGCTAATCTTGGGCTGCAGCCCGCGGATGGCCTCGGCGTTGGCCTTTGCGAGCTGGACGTAGGTGCCCTTCTCGATCATGAGGTATTGCAGCAGACCCGCGGGACCGCCAAAGGCAGTCGACATCTTGCCGTAGGCGTCCGCCATGGCGGCCATACCCTCGGCCTTCTTGAGCATGATGGCCAGGTCGGCCTCGGCGTTGAGCTGGGCAGAGTACTGGTGCGCCTCGGCGTCCTGGCGGGCCTTGTAGGCGTTGGCGTCGGCCGTCTTTGTGGTGCGGTTGAACTCGGCCGAGGTGTGCGCGTCGGCGTCCTTTTGCGTCTTGAAGGCCTTTGCCTCAGTCTCGCGCTGGCTCTTCTCAAAGTTGGCCTTGGCGTCGGCCTCGATGGCGTAGGCCTCGGCGTCGGCCTTTTGCTGGCGGGCCTCGCGCTCAATGGTGGCTTTGACGACCTCGGTGGCACGCAGGCGCTCAATTTCGGCGGCGGCGCGCTTGACCTCGACCTCGCGCTTGAGGTCCTCGTCCTTGGACTCGAGGGCGCGGCGGGCCTCGACGCGGGCAATCTCGACGTCCTTGCTGAGGGAGGCCTGGCGGGTGTCGAGGTTGGCCTCGGCGGTGGCGCGCTCGATGTCGCGGTCCGTCTTCTGGACGGCGGTCTCGGCGTTGATCTTTGCGATCTCGCGCTCCTGCTCACCCTTGCGCTTCGACTCGCCGACGTTACCGCGCAGCTGGGCCTCGGCGACGTCGATCCTGGCCTGGTTGCTGGCGCCCTCGTGGGCCTTGCGGGAGAGGGACTCAAAGTAGTTTGAGTTGGGTGCGTCCTTGAGCTCCTTTACGTTTGCGTTGTAGATCTTGAGGCCGAACTGGCTGAGCTCGGACTGGATGTTGCGGAAGATGCGACGCTTGAAGACCTCGCGCTCGGTGAAGATCTCTTCCATGGTCATGCTGGAGACCAGGACACGGACTTCACCCTCGATGATGCCCTTGACGATGTTCTCGAGGTGGACGAGAGAGCTGGTCTTCTTGTCGGCGGACTCGGCGAGGAGCATGGCGTACTTCATGAGGGCGTCGCCGCGGTCCTCACGGCGGTTGGAGGAAATGTAGCTGTCGTCCTCATCGTGCTGCTGGTGGTCGGAGGTCTCGGAGTGGTGGCTCGATTGATGAGCGGCGTTGGCGCCGCGCTGGTTGACGTCGGGGCCTACGGTGAAGACGACGGGCAGGAGGAATTGCAGCTTCTCCTTGGTCATAGCCTGGAGGCTCATGGCATAATCGTGGGGCGTGATGCGGAAGCGCATGCAGCGTTGGAAGGGCCATACCCAGGCGGCCTTTGTGATTTTGACCGTCTTCACGGACATACCCGTGATGGCGAGGTATTCATCGGGGGCGGCGACTCTGTACGACATTTTGGCGGTGTTGTATGGGTGGAAGTGAGTGAGAGTAAGGTAAAGATGGAGGAAGGGTTGGAAGAGGGAGAAGAGGGTAAGATCTTTTGAGGCGACTGCTTCCCAACGAGCCTGTTATCAGAAGTTTGGGTAGTAGATAGATGGATGTTTGGAGTACACGTTGACGAGTTAAATTGCTGGTGAAATTGATAGACTGTTTCTCCTGTAATAGTAGACAAGAAGACTCGGGGTATCTTGAGGTAGCTCTATATTGGTATGACACAACACTGCAAATAGGAGGAACCATCCTATTATATACCTTGGGAACCCACGAGGCAGATCAAAGCTCTACCTGAGCTCTAAGCTCAAGAATGGACTCACATCATGTCACCTACCTTGGCATCTCGGGTAAGGTAGTTCATGGCTGAGGGCGAACGCCCAGCCAAGCATTGAAGTTAGCGGCGGTAAACGGTTGCGACTAGCGTGTGACCCATTCATGACCAGGCATTCTCGTTACACGACACACCATTCTTGCAGCCTATGAAATGAGCCTCGTGGCAAGGCATAGCAATATTGGAGGGTGGACAATGCGGTTGGGCGGTGTCATTGGTAAATGGTCACCGTCAGAACATGGCTCCGTTGGTGGCGGCAGTGCATATGGTAAGACCTTCCTTTACCCTTGGACGGTTGGACCTGAACTGAATGTGGAGGAAATGGCGAAAAGAGAGTGGCTGAATTGGCCCTTTGAATTCCGCATCAGGCGGCAGGCACCCGGTTAGTCAGTCCTACCTCTGCACGTGACTTCATTGGAATATTATTGACCAATCACGGTAGCCCTGTGGATGAGTCAAGTCAGATGGTGTGGCTCATGCGCGCTAGACTTCTTCTCGAAGCCTGCCTTATATGGATGCCTGAAGTTACCTAATCGCCAAATGTGGCTGATCTGGGGAAATTAAGGTGTCGATCCACTCCACCGCTTTCCATCTGAGGCCCTCCACTTTCTTCGCCCGACACCATCGACAACACCCTCACTTTCATGGTTTCGCCAGGTCAGACATGCATCAAAAGACGCCAAAAGATGCAGGGACGGGCTAACTTGAGTGCACAGGCCCGAGTCAGATCATCGACGTTCTCTTCTACACAACACAGACCCTCTCAAACGGCATAGTCTGCTGCTACAATTCCGGGCACCGCAAGATGAAGGCCTGTCATTCCCGTCACCGAACGCTTACTTTGCTATTGCATGCCAACATATCTTGCGGCTGAAACGGGCATCTTAATCACGCAGCGTCGACATCACGAATTCGCTCACATATCCACATCGACTTCGAACTCAATCCGACCTCCTATTCCCTAAGCGATGACCGAACCTGGGGTCTGATTTTCCCTCATGTCAATCGACGAGCGGGCCTCATTCTCGGTCACCTGTTCCGGGAATGCTGAGCGATGGCGGCGCGCTAATGCCTCCTTGGGCCCTCCGATAGGAACCAGCTGCGGCGCAGCACAGCACTTTAGTCGGGCGCATTTCTCTCCTCTTCTTTTCGGCACCTTTGCCAGGCACTCGAAAGCGCCCCTGACAACACTGCCATTAGCGTAACCGATAAGCCTTTACAACGCCTGCTTGTCTTCCTTCGCCCAGCCGCAGTGCCGCCAGAACCGACCCCAAGAGAGGCTATCCAAGGATCTACAACACCCACGAACCAACTCACAGCCTCATTCCCTTGCTATCCTTTGACACAACATAATCATACACATCCGCCCCTGCATACCATTGATCGCTCAGAGGACCCCGTGATCACAAAACCCGATAATCTCCGCCACCATCCCCGGATTCTGAGTCCTCCTGCATGTGTCCGTGCAGGCCTTTCGGTCACAAGAGTTCAGCCCTGTAGAAGTCGAACTGATGCTCCCATCGGCGTCGGCCGAGAGCATTGCAACTACCTAGGTACTACGGAGTACGTCGAGCCGTGTTCCCACTCTTTCGTCATTGCGGAATCCCCGTCTCGGCACCGAAAGTCGTTGCCTGCCTCTTCTGATCCTTCAAGGTCCAGTCACAGTTGCGGCACGCACCTGATGCCAGAGTCGCCCGAGGCGTTTTTGGCACAAAGAGCTTAGGCTTACTGTTCATCTATCAAGGTCATTCACTCAGTGACCCACGAACGACGGACTTCCCATCACCTCCCTTACCACTGCGTCAGCCCGACGAGCTCACTTTCACGCAAATCTCAGTCTGTGTTGCAGAATCCAGACTACAAAGCATCAATTCAATCTCAAACTTACTCACGGTACTATTGCTATGTCGAAGAACCCTGATGGAGACGGGGATCTTCCCCCCTCATACAACGAGGCAACGACATCGTACCACTCATCGTCAACACTCAATCACAACTCATCGGTCTCGACGACCCTCAACAACCTCTCTTCCTTGCTCCGCGAAACGCAAGCTCAGCAGACCGCCCGTGACACCGTCACGACAACAACCCTTCTTCCGCTCCTAACGCCCCACATCACGTCACTCTTGACACGTCTAGGAACGACTCCTCACCCACCGATATCAACAGAGCTCTATCTCGTGCCCGCTGCAGCAGTCGGTCCAGAATGGATCATCGCTTCAGATGCCGACCCAAAGGCAGGCCAGGTCGCGGAGGTCATCCGCGTGGAGCCGGAGCCCGACCCCGCTTCTAAGGGAAGGGGTGACACCAAAGGTCAAAGCACGGGCTCAGCCTCAGGAAATGCAGTTGCAGGTTCCTCCTATGAATTCGACGAATGGGGCCGCTGGGACGACGACATCAACGCCGGATCGTCATCATCTAAAGAAGGAGAGTGGTGGTGGAGCGATGAAGGTCTGGCCCGGCGTCTCGCGAAACGGCTGCAGCCCGAACCAAAACTCGACCGTACCGTCGTCCGTGCCGTCGTAGAACAAGCAAAAGAGGATAAAAAGGCAGGTCGGTGGGGGCTATTCAGAGCCGGCGCCGACCCGTCGTCGTCGTTTTCGTCTTCCTCATCAGGCCCACCGCCACCTCGACAGTTTATTAAGCCCACGTCTCCTTCCACAACGTTCGAGGAGAATGTTTCAATGACGGTGCGCGGGGAAGAAGTAACCTTTCGCCGGGAAAACGAGATGGGAATATGGGAGAGCATGCGCGGTTTTGGAATCGTGGTAAGAGTGAGGATACGAAGGACATGAGGCTAAGATACCCCAGTCTCCGTCAGGATCACAATTATTAGGCTAGCAGGCCCGATACAGACAAACATGCCTCTCTGGCACCTTTGTATTTCGGACTATTTCTATCGTCCGCTTCAGACCTGTCTATCCGAGCCACAGCTCATTGCTGACCAACCTCTCGGTATCCTGCACTGAAGAGGGATTCTAGCCAACCAATGAGATGAACCAACACCAGGAGGATGCATCTCTCTCGTCCGAAATTCGATCGAATTCTGGCTTGCTGACGATAGTTCACCAACTATCATTGAGCAACTACAACGATATCGGGTGATGTTAGCGGTAATGTCTAGTAGCTAATAGATTATAAGATATGTGTCTTCTGAACGCATGGTAGAACTATCCAACTTTGGGACAAGACAGCAGCCCAAAGATAGCGAAAGCACTCGCTCCAAACTGCTCAACCGTGGTGTCTCTCCACGTAGTCAACCAATCCAACGCCCTCGTCGCATCTCTGCCAAAGGGCCTAGTAGCAGTCTTCATCGGCGCAACATCAGGCATCGGAAAAAGCACCCTCCAACACCTCGCCCAATACGCGCCCTCACCACACATCTACACCGTCGCGCGCCCTCAAACCGTCGCATCCCACGAGGCCTTCCTCGCCTCGCTGCGCGCAACCGCAAGCCCAGATGCCATCTACACCCTCCTCCCTGCAGACCACGCGCTCGTATCTGACATTGACGCCGCCATGGACACCATTCTCCAACGGGAAACAAAAGTCGACATTCTTTTCCTCTCGGCAGGCTTCATTGCTTTCGAGGGCCGTAAAGACACCGTAGAAGGGCTGGATCCGTCAATGTCGACGCGGTACTACACCCGCCTCCGCGCCACTCAAAAACTCCTCCCTCTCCTCAACAACGCGCCGCACCCACGCGTAGTCTCGGTACTGGCAGCGGGCTTAGAAGGCCCCATGCCCGACGAGGAGGATCTTGACCTCCGAAGGCCCGGGAACTGGGGGTATTGGCCTGCTTCCGTGCAGGCTACGACCATGGGAACGCTCGCGCTTGAGGTGTTGGCGAGGGAGAACCCGGGGGTGAGTTTTGTGCACTCTATGCCTGGACCCGTGGCGACACCTGGGTTGGAGAGGGCGAGGGACTTTGGGGTGGACGTTACGGGGGAGATGAGTGTTGATGAGGCGGGTAAGAGGGGGTTATTTTTGGCGACGAGTGATTTATATGATTCTCGGGGGCGGGAGGGAGTTGTGAGGGTTGCTGGGGTTGAGAGAGTGAGAAAGTCTGGTGGTGGTGTGTTTTTGGTTGGTCCGCTAGTGGAGAGGGTTGATAATGAGGAAGTTTTGGGAGGTATGAGGGAGAGAGGGTTGGATGTGAAGGTGTGGGAGTTTACTCGGGGGTTATTTCATGATTGTCTAGGCCGAAACGGAAGTTTCAACGAGCCTGTGTAAACTCTGGCCATCTTGAGACCGAACAAGATTTCTAACAATCGAATTCCGATGGGATGCTGTCTTCACCGAAGTCTCTGCTGGCTGATAGACAGTCCTTGCAGATATATAATTCTAGATAAATTAGTGCGCAAAGACGATGCTAGAGAACTTGACTTGGGGAACAATAATGGCCCCTGGGAAGTGAGTATGCGACTCTCCGGTTTTGATTTTCGATAGGTAGGGTCAGTAACAATTGTGGCGGCCCGCTTGTAGCTGGTGGAAGATCTCTCCTAGGTGACGGGACTTGCCTCGGCCCGGTCTCAAAAGGGGAACGCCAACGAGGTATTGTGATAGAGTTCAGATCACTAGCTTGCTTGATTGCATAGCATCAATGGCCATTGCGATCCAGAGAACTTCGTCATTGAGCCATTCGGTAGATCGAGAAATGATTTGGCTGGACCGCCTATTCGTCCGTTGAGCGGTCTAGACCGAAACCGGCTTCGATCTGAACTCGATGCTGGCATTCTTTCAGCACTTGGGGGACTAGATATAAAGCATTCTTTGTGGCCATTCAACGCCACCCTTATCGAGATTGACGCAAATGGGATCGGAATGTCGGCGGTGCGGAGTCAAACCACCTCAAAACCAATGAAGGGACTGGAGTGGCGGCTGCAAGGCCTACTTGGCCGCTCATCTCGGCAGGCTGAAGGAATCGTACATACGAGGAGTCCCTTTCGCTTGCCTCCCTCTTCCATTGAGGAAAGGTTTCCCATTTGATGCAAAACCGGAAACTCCCAAGCTCTACACAATCCCAAAAGGCAAATCGTGGTTGTTATCACTTAGGAAACCAGTGACTGAGGAGCAGATATCGAGGCGACAAACGACTCTGTCCAGGAAGGCAAACAGCCGCATATCGTCCTCTTATCTATCGCTTTTGCAGTCATGCTGTGGGCACGGCTCGCACCGCCCTTACTCCTGCTCTGCCTCAGTACCATTACGAAAGCATCCAGCCTGGTCGATATTCCACCATGCGCAGTAAGTACTTCCGCACAATGCATTTCTTACCACGCGGCCTTGCTAACAATAGGCAGATACCTTGCCTACTGGATGCCATTCCAAAGTCGGCATGCGCTCCCGGTGATCAAACATGCCTCTGCCATGACAATTCATACATAAACCTAGTCGAGACATGTGTCAGAGCGGATTGTTCAGTCAAAAATGCCCTGGGTCAGTGGATGAATGTTTCCGTCGGGATAGCAAGACAGCACCTTGCTAACCACATCTCCAGTCACGAAGAATATCACGCAGACGGAATGCGGTTTTCCGATAGAGGACGACTTCGCCGCTGTCAAGATCATGCGCCTGGTTCTGTTCTTCACACTTCCCACTTTCGCCATCATCATCCGTTTAGTTGTGAAGATCGCCCGGATGTCACCTTGGGGATTTGATGACAGTACTATTCTATTGACATATGTGAGTCACGCCCCTTGGGTTGGGCGAATATGTGAGTAAAGAGAAGTCTAAACCGTGAATCCAGATCATAATGTTTGGCTTCATACCGGTAAATTACGTCGGTAAGAAAATCCCCACGCATTACCCAAAGAAGTTTCGATAAATGGTGTATTAATCACCTAATAGCTGAACTTAACGGCGCCGGGCGAGATATTTGGAGTCTCACGTTCGACCAAATCGACCTCTACTTCTTGGTAATAACTTTCCCTCCAACGGCAACGAATAGTGAATAGTCAGACGAGAACTCAACGCTGACTGGCTCCAGACATTTTATATCGGCCAACTACTCTACGTGTTCACGCTGACGCTGATCAAATCCTCCATACTGTTCATGTACCTCCGAATCTTTCCCGGCGACAAGTTCCGCCGGGTCTTGTGGACAACGCAAGTTGTTACCGTGGGGCTCGGGATGGGCTCCGTGTTCCTAGTAGCCTTTCAGTGTCAACCCGTCGGGATGGCTTGGAAACAATGGACCGGGGAGGAGAATGGTCACTGTATACCGGTGCCGCCGCTTGGCGTGGTCCATGGGGTGGTCAACATCGTACTAGACGTCTGGATGCTCATTCTACCGGCATCTCAGGTGCTCTTCTTGAACATGAAGCCCCGAAAGAAGTGGGCGGTGATGTTCATGTTCAGTCTCGGCCTATTGTAAGCATTTTCCCTCCAATGACATCTTCAGCTCTGACATACGACTAACCCCTCTGCTGCGATCAGTCTTACAATCTCCAGCGGCATACGACTGAGGGCGGTTTTGAGGTACACGACCGCGTCGACCAACCCGACTGGTGAGTAGAGCCTCGAATCGTCCAAAAACAAACACTGTTTCGCGTACTACTCTTAGCGGGACTGACCATTTCTAGTCGATGCAATGCCCGTCGCCGTGTGGTCAGACATAGAGCTCGACGTGGGCGTTTTCACCACTTGCATCCCAAACATTTGGCAGTTCGTCCGCCGCTTTATTCTCAAAGATCCTAAACGAGTGGAGAAGTTGAGCTCGAAGAATACTCAGAACCAAAATCTCGAGGAGTATCCACAGAAGTCGCCGGCACCGGCGTCGATGGAGGTCGGGGAGGAGGAGCTAAGATGATGCCAAGGCACAACTTAGGAGGCTCAGTGTGGTTCGCGGGTAATTCTTTACGCGGACGCGGGCTATTTTGAAGACATTCGTCAATTTGTAGAAGGCAGTAGAACTTAGATACTTACAACTGAGGTTTGTACCAAAGCTTCGTGTCTCGCGCGTTGTCTAGATGCATCTGATTAGCAGTAAGATCTGGTGAACTGAGGCATAGTCGAAGTTATTTAGGAGTAGTGTAGCTCATGCAAGACGGACAGCCCGAAGAAGGCCGGATCAAACCTTCTTTGCAGTAAGGTAGACCACAGCATACGGTGAAAGAGGCTACAAAGTAGTTGGACGATGCGTGTTTTTAGCAATTATTCGGGGAGCACATCCGACGCTACGGTCACTATAGCCGAACCTTAGCTGAGAGTCGCACAAACCTGGAAATCACCCCTTCTAGAGCCATGGTAGCTAGAGATCGACCTTAGGGCTGAATCAAAAGTCAACCCGCAGCAGAAAAGCCGGAATTTCGGTCTGTGTATATTTGCATGGTACAGTGATTGATGCTGGTAGCATCTTGGGGTTCATGATATGTCGAGACCTAGCCTCGATTCTACATCCTAGATTTAACACTACCGGATATCTCGATCTCGGCCGCCAAAGGCACGTTGCCGAGAGCTGTCGGGCCCTTGCTTCCTTCCATTAAGACATTATACGGCTTCTCCTGTTTCCCAATCTGTCTCCACTTCCAAAGCTTTGGTGGAATCTGGTCTTGGCCCTTCTTTTCCACTTTGTCTACAACCCAGTTGCCAATGTTGGGAAGATACTTGAACGCGTGTCCACTCCCGCCAGTCGCAACCATAAGTGACTCCTCGGTGTCGGGGACATGGTCAATCACAAAATGATTATCGTAGCTGTCTGTATACCAGCACACTCTAGTGAAAGAAATATCGATGCCTTCGGCGCCTAGCTCCGGGAGATTCTCTGCCAAGAATAAGCGCAAAACTCTCAGAGCTTGCTGGGGAATCGTCGTCAGGCGCTCATTAGTCGCTTCGTTAGGATCGCTAGGCCCCGATGCACTCGACCACCGTGTTACGGGTACGCTGCGTTCCCTACCGTCAGCTTGCTTGACGGGGTTTGTGTATTTGGTTCCGCGATAGCCGATCTTCAGCCAGCCATTCTCATCCCTAGGGAACCCGTATAGACCACCTTCAGCGCCGTCTCTCACTTTGTATGTGAAAGTTGGGAAGTTTTCGGGTGCGAAACGACTAAATAACGGCGATTCACGGGGTATCTTGAGTAGTACCACCGATCCTGCCGTCGTCTCACACAAACCGTCTAGATCTGGGAGTAAAGAAGGTGTCCAGCCGCCACATGCCATGATAGTCAGCTTTGCATGGTGTTCCTTGCCGTCTCGGGTTTTGATCCCGCTAACCTTCTTCTCCTCGTAGATCAACGAGACAAGAGCACCAGCTTGCGAATCTAACACAAACTTGACGCCTTGGCTTTCCGCCTTGTATAGCGCAAAACGGCAGGCCTTGTCAGCCACGGCCATGCCTCCCGTCGTGTCGAGAACGCCGGCCGCGTTGAGACCTCTTTGCAAACGTCGGAACGGGTCCATTCCAAAAGACCATCCTTTCTCAGCAGCGATCCTTTGGTGTTCCTCATCAATGGTGATCAGCTGAGTATTTCGATGCCCTGCTGCCTCCATGTTGTCAACTGTGTCCTGCTCGAATTGCGGCAGGGTTGCTGAGTCTGAGAGTGACAGGTTGCCGTTATTGACAAATACGCGGTCGTTGGTGGTTAGGCCGGGTGGGACTGTCTTCCCGCTGGCCAGCTCCTCGTTCCAAGCGGTCCAGCCCTCTAGCGCCTCAATGGTCAACCCTTGGTACTCCGTTTGTGCGCCATACGCAGATCTGATGATTTTGTTCATGTCTGGAACGTACGTTAGCCTTGTGCCAATAGCACTAGAGGAGTGATTAAGTTCGTTACCTGCAGAAGCTCCATCGGCGCCTTTAAAATACGAGTAAAGACTTTCGTGGTAGGGCTGCCTGTCATAGACCGTGACGTTCTTGTATCCCCGGCGAGACAGGTGCAACGCGGTGCTGAGACCAAAGATGCCGGCCCCGACGATGATGACCGCATCGTCCTTGTTAGGTGAGCGTGCCATGGTTGCGCTACTGCATGTACCGGTATAGCTGAGCAGAGTTGAAGAAGAAATGCAGAAGCTATTCTAGGGAGTTTTAGCCTCAAGACGTTCCAGAAGCTCTGGCCAGGTTTCGGAGAGGAGTCCGAAAGGATTGTTCGTAGCGTGCTGCTAAACTTTGGGCGATGAGGGGTCGACAGGCGAAGATGGGAACACCAGCTTCCTGGGACGGCGTTTGACGGCCTTTTTCTCTTGGATCGAGCAAACTAGTCGAGTGCCGACAGGCTGTATGGTATGATCTTTCGGTAAACGCCGTGGCAACGCTGCTGGCCGGGTCGGAGCTAGAAGAAAGTGCGGGAGCTAAAGTCGCTGCGGCGCCTGGATTGAGGAGCAGCAGTGTTAACTAAACGATTCAACAACAAGTCGAAGTTTGTGAGAGCCTGGTGACTTGCGACAGATGTGAATGAAATCACATTGGCAATGATTGGCGACTTGGTAGGGAGCAAGACCATAAAACATACAGATTGATATCAACAACTGTGCAACCAATCCAATCAGACAAGTTCAGCCCCCAGTCGCCGTCGCTATCAAAGGTACATCCTCCCTTAACGGAGCACTCTCATGCCGTGCGCCCCACGGGCCCTCCACCTACCGCGCGGTCTTGGGTCCGGTCCCGGCAGCTGATAACCTCCTAGTCTGTGTCGCTCTACGACCCCGCTCTCGTCATTTCGCATCGTGCCGCAGACATGGACACCCTTGCCCGGATTGTCCCGGATAACGATCCAGGGCTGTGGTTGGCAAGCTACTGCAAGTCCCATCAGAGCCGGTGACTGTCAACCTACCTTAGCCCGATACGGGTTACGCTAAAGGGGGGTTCGAGGAAGAATCCTATCTCAAAGGGCTTCGTGATCATGCGCCGTAGGGACGAACGACTGGAAACCCCCGTCCAGAGGTGTCTACCCCGGATCTTGAGCTTGCACAGACAACGACCCTGCCGATTGGGACTCCTTGGTCAGCAAGCGAGGCATGCTTGGGGCAGGGTAGGGGGTTGAGCCAGACCGGACGTCTCTTTTTCGCATCTTGGCTTTGATAACGTCCAACTGATGCATAACGGGCCAACAAACATGCAAACAGGTTGACATATAGATATCCATTGGGCAATCTCCCTGTCCGATGATATATCGCAGGACCCATCGACAAAACACACAACTCCTTTGGTTCATACAATTGCTCACTGGTCGCCAAAGGTTTCATCTGCTCACTACCTATACAACGCGGTCGAATTCTCGTGCCGACCATCCAGACGGCGCCGATTTCCCGGATCATTACTCGGACTCAAGAAGGACAACGCGTCGTCCTCTGTAAGATGGGTGTCAAGCAAGTCTTCACGGAGTCGACCTTCGCCAAGTACATCACGGCAATCAGGGAGTCGCCTCGAGAACTCATCTCGAATCGAAAGCTCTTGCTCACCGCTGCCCTCTATGCCACGAGTGGCATCCCCATCAGTAAGAAGACTCCGTCCACCATCATTGGCTTGTGCAAGATGCGCCGGCTAACGTGGTCAACGTAGCATGGGATCAAGGCTCCTCCTCGGTGGTGCCGTCCCTTCCCGGTTTCCAGAAGGACTTTGGAATCACCTCGGCCACGAACCCTACCCAAGTCTCCAACTTCATCTCTTTCGTCTACATCGGAGCTGGCATCGGCGCCGGCTTGTCATTCTTTCTCAATGATCGCATCGGACGAATGTGGTCCTACCGCCTCTACATGACCATCTGGATCATCGGACAAATCATCGCGACCGTGTCGATGGGTAACATCGGTGCCCTCTACTTTGCTCGCATAGTCTCAGGCATGGGTATTGGCGCTCTTACAGTCACTGGACCTGTCAGTATCGTCGAGATTGCCCCTACCGAGATCCGTGGTCTCCTGGCGGTCTGGTTCAGCGTTGCCATGCTACTGTCCTTGACTGTGTCGGTCTTCATCGTCTACGCCTGCTTCATCCATGTCGCTGTTGGGAGGCTCCAGTATCAGATCGTCTTCTTCTCTCCGACTATCGTCATGGCCATCCTCATCGCGGCAAGCTTCCTGCTCTATGAAAGTCCACGCTGGTTGTTCATTGCCAGACGGGACGATGAAGCGATCCAAAATCTGACGGCTCTCCGAGGGCTGTCGGTCGATCACCCCAGGGTGGCAACTGAGATCGAAGACATCAAAGACCAGATCGCCAAAGAGGAAGAGAAATTCGGACGCAACCCCGGCTTTGTCGTCTTGGTGAAGGATGCCTTCCTGGTACCCTCCAATCTTCGTCGCGTACAGCAGGCCGTTCTGTCGTATGCTCTCGCCCAGCTTTCAGGTGCCAACAGCGTCACCTCCTACCTCGTTCCGATTCTGAGCATGCTCGGACTTGGTGGCGGCACTGCCCGCAGCTTATTTCTCAGCGGCATGTACAGCATGGCCAAATTCTTCTTCACTCTGATTGCTAGTTTCTTCTTCATCGATGCCCTCGGTCGCCGTCGCAGTCTATTCACGGGTATCACTATCCAGATGATTTCTGATCTGTACATTGGTGTCTTCATCAAGTATCGCCAGGAGGGTGACGTTGCACCGGGATCTAGCGAAGCTGCTATCGCCGCTGTTTTCATTCACGGATTCGGATACGCTGTCGGTGAGTAGACTGAAGATATGGGTCAGGCCCAACAAAGCAGCTTGCTAATACTTCTGCAGGCCTCCTCGTTCTACCTTATGTCTTCGGTGCAGAGCTGTGGCCCAATCATCTCCGCTCCTTCGGCAGCGCCTTTTCACAGTTTTTCCACTGGCTCTTTTTCTTCGGCGTCAACAAGGGTATGCCTTCGCTGCTCAGCCAGACTCACAACTGGGGTGCCTTTATCTTCTTCGCGGGATGGTGTTTCCTGTCGTTGATCTACGTCTACTGTGTTGTCCCTGAAACATCTCTTCAGAGCTTGGAGCAACTGGATGAGCTCTTCAAGGGGCCATGGTGGAACGTCAGTCGCAGGGCGAAGCAACTGAAGCAGCAAGCTCGGGAGCAAGAGGCAATCATCGACGCTCAAGACTCACTGTCAGTACCCTCAAGTCGTAAATCTCGAGCGCAAAGTCAAAGGCTAATATGCATGTGTAGCAGCGATCAAAACAGCGAGCCCGAATCTGGCATTGAGAAGAATGGCGCACGTGCAGTCAGCCAAAAGGTCTAATCAGATGCGTTGATACTGCCACACTTGGGGGAACAATCATACCAGGCGCGAGGAAGCCATCGCCAAATTGCTTTGTGTGGAGGGCTGAAAGCTTTCCATAATGACTGAATCATGCATCAGTAGGCTTGAATTGATAAATTAATATTTGAGTCCTGGTCTGTACTTCTAGGCGAAGTCGGGTAGCCTTTATGAATCGAGAATGTGTTCGGTTCAACTCGTGTTTTCACCCCGTCCGAAATATGTGCACTCTCTAGGGAAGTGTGGTTTGCATTTTCAATCGCAGTTAGCTTGCTTGTATATAATTGCTCTTAGCTTGGACTTGATGAATGCCGGCGTAGACAGAAAGAAAACTGTATCAGTCTTACTGAGATTGCTGGTGTGGAGACAGTAGTATACAAGGAGTCTATCCTATTCTATTGAGCTTTGGGCTCACGCAGCTTGTCGAGCGAGGATATAGGACTCTTTCTACTTTCATCTTATGAAGTTGTGAAATAAGTTTGTGATATTAACTTATCTGTTCGAAGCATTCCTGAGTCGCTGCAGATGTGTGCGGACCGCTCTTGAGTGTGTATGGTGGTGATGCTCTACGCTATTCGTGATTTCCTTCAGATCCTAGCTAACTCTATAACTAAGAAATGTCGCCAGGCCTGTTAGCTCACTTCGCTAGAGCCTTTGCCTTCCTATCATGGATGTCGATAACAGGAGAGTTAGGCTTCCCACTCTTAAACCAAGCCCGGATATTCTCAAAACACTCCCTCTCAGCCTTCTGAAAAGCCATGTCTGTGAGGCCACCAAGATGAGGTTGCGCAATCACGTTATCGTGCTGAACCAAGGCCATGTCTGGCTTGGGCTCGTCGCAGAAAACATCGAGGCCAGCGCGCGCCACCTTTCCAGAGTCCAGAGCGTCCTTGAGCGCCGCCTCGTTGATGACGGGCCCGCGAGCGGTGTTGACGATGAAGACACCGTCCTTCATTGCGGCAAACTCTGCAGGTCCGATCAGACCAGTCGTCTGGTCGTTTAGCGGGCAGTTGAGTGACAAGATATCGGACTTGCCGAGAAGGTCCTCCAGCGTTGGGGAGTATACCGCGTTGTACTTTGCTTCCTCTTCCGCGGGAAGCTGGTGGCGGTTGTGGTAGCTGATCTTGAGGTTGAAGACGGCCGCTTTCTTTGCGAGGTACTGTGCGGTTACTCAGATTAGCTTGGCAACTCTACAACGCAGTCTTGATGCGATGGACTAGAACATACTTTGCCAATAGCCCCCATCCCGACAATACCCATAGTCAAGCCAGACGGATCTCTCCCAGGAACAAGCCCTGGAACCGCTCTCCAGGTGCCGGCCTTGGCGCTCTTCTCTGCATTGCTCGTATTGCGCAGAACAGCCAGCGTCAGGAACAGAGCCATATCCGCCGTTGCCTCGGCCACGGCGTCGACCGTGTTGCAGAACCAGATGCCCTCTGAGGCCATCCACTCCACGTCGAACTCGTTGTATCCGGCGCTAGCGGACGTGATGATTTTGCAATTTGGCGCCAGAGCGCTCAAGAGACCCTTGTCGAATGGCTCGTATGGCGGCGTGCCCATGCGAATGATGAACGCATCGATAGGACCGTTCTTTTCGATATCCTCTGGCAGCATGGCTATCGTTTCCGCCCGGTCTGTTGCTTCGAGAACTGAATAGTCGAACTCGGTCTTGAAGCCGGCGAGGTAGTCGTCGCCGACATATTTTGGGGTGCCGAGTGCCACGACGCGGGGCTTCCTTGAGCCCAAGTCATCTGTCCGAGCTGGTGCCATGATTGTGCAGAACGTCTTCTTTTCAGCGAAAGTACAGCAATTGAGATGTGATAGTAGGCTGGCGGATTCAACTCAATGATGATCGCGGGGTATATGGATACCGGGAGAAAGAAATATGCAAGGTGTCAGACAAGCAGTCAACTGAAGAAGACATGCCATTTACCCGCAATGTCGCCGGCAGCTTTTGAAATAACATTAAAAAGGTGCCCGAATTATCCCACATTTACCGGAATTGTTGCCCGTCAGTGACAAACAGAAACACATCAGCTATCACATTTCGCCGACAAATCAACTCAACTCTTACGCCCGGCTTTTTTCCGGCGCGGATCCGAATCACGGAGGGGTTTCTGCAGTGGTCGGATTCTCCCGAACCGCAGGGGACTCCACTCGGGAGGACCCGAATCCGGGGAGACCTTGGCTTTTTTGTCTCGACAACTTTCCCTCCTTCAAGTTGATCGGTTTACTTACGAACTGCGGGGTAACCACAAACTACTTCCAATTGGGTGATAGTGCGGCTAATCGCATGGAGCGCATATCAGAAAGACCTCCTGGATGAATCAACCGTTATCGATGATGTCCATGAAGTTGCTGATGGTTTTGATAAGCATCGGTAACTCAAGAGCCTTTCTTCGGCAGTCTCAGACGCGGCGTCTGCTTAAAGAAAGACGCTTTTGTCACTAAGATGAGAACTATCCGAAGAGCTCGTCAACCTCGTGAACTCACGAGTAGTAAGATTATACTTCACCATGGCTCAAGCTACACAAAGTCTCCCACCGCTTGGTTTCATTGCCATAGAGGTGGATATACACCGACCACCGGGTGATCCCTACAACGAGCGCACCTGGCCGTTTCCTCTCATTCGTGAAATGGCAGAAGGGTCAAAAGTTTCGCAAGTCGTCACGTCTTCCAGCTATGACTCTACATTCATAGACCGGTTTGTGGACGCGGGACTGCGTTTAGCGGCCAGAGGTTGCGTGGGCATCATCACTAGTTGCGGGTTCCTGGCACTAGCCCAAGCCGAGTGAGTATAATGCCAAACATCATTTGCCATTGACTCAACTCCAAGGAGAAACCCAAAGTCTGATTTGTGAACATGATAGACTTACCGCAAGGTTGCCCATCCCGATCGCCACGTCATCGCTAGCCCAACTGCCCTCAATCCTACCTCTGCTTCCGCCTGGCAAGAGTGTGGGAATTCTCACATATGATGAGTCAAGACTAGGCTCTCAGCACCTCGCAAGCTTTGTGCCCGAGCAGGCGCTTTCCAAAATCGTCATCCGCGGGGTGCCTTTCGATGGGCACTTGAGGGGTACGATTGGGAAGGGCGCCCCGTACGTCCATGCAGACATTGAGGCAGAGCTCGTCGCTGTTGCAAGAGACTTTGTAGCCAGTCGGCCTGATATCAGGATACTGGTACTGGAATGCACCAATATGCCCCCGTTCTCAGAGGCGATTTTCAGAGCACTAGATGGCAAGATTCCTGTTTATGATGTTTACACTATGGGTCAGTGGTTTTACTCTGGGTTGGTAAGACCAACGCCGGTTCACTGGCATGGGTAGCTATATCTGCAAAATTGTTCGTGTCAACATGGATGCTTCTATGATGACTCTACGAACGCATTTAATTAGATCACAACCGAGTCCGTTCCAGCTCGTCATTTTTTATTTAGTGCAACCGAATGGGTTTTCAGTAATCACCACACCACCGCGAGTGCGAATGGATATTGACTTCTGTTCTCTTCTAAGTTTACTAAACACCTCTATCCACATGAAGTCTCATAATAAAAAGTCGCCTCCTGACTCTTTCAGAATCAACTGATACTCTGGTACAAACTGCATGTACATTACTTCAGGTGTACCCGTGCCGTCCTTTGTGTACTGCGCCTCCTCTTCGCCGACAAACGTCTTCTTCAGTCCGCCAGCAGCACCGTTGGTTCCAGGAGCAACAGCCTGCTCAACAAGGAACTGGGCCTGGCAACACCGCTCAAGCGCGATAAAGAAGGCAGCAGCTTCAGCTACCGTCCCACCGGCGGTGAGGAGTCCGTGGTTCTGAAGGATGATGTTCTTGTTGGTGGGGCCGAGGGCTTCGGCAATATGCTCGCCCTCTTCCTTTGCTAGTACGACGCCACCGAATCCTTCGTAGACAGAGAGGTCGTTGTAGAACATGCATGAGTCTTTTCAATGGCATAATTAGAACTGCATCTCTCCACAGTAGTACACGATGAGGTTGGTAGTTGTGACTTACCTTGGTTAAGCATGTCGATCGGACGTCCGAAAGTACTCCACGCCCGGCCGTAAGGGCTGTGCATGTGGCAGGCGGCGTTGATATCCGGCCTCCTCTTGTGGAGAACGGAGTGAATGGTGAAGCCGGCGGTATTTACCGGCTTATCGGCACCGCCAATACGGTTACCGTCCTCATCGATGTGAACCATGTCCGACACCTTTAGCACGCCAAAGTGCACTCCATACGGGTTGATCCAGAACGTGTCCGGTCTGATGGGGTCTTGCAGGAGCTCTTAGCATCTTGATTCCAGTAACGGAAAAGGAAAAAAAAGCAAACCTCGTAGACTGATGTGTCCACTGCTGCCATCTGAGAAGCCCAACTTGGCAAAGATGCGAAACGCGGCCGCCATCTGTTCCAGCTGCCATTTCCGCGCAGCTTCTTTGGATTCGGGAACCGGGATCTGGTGTAGGCGCTTGACCTTGCCGCTACCCGCCTTGCCCGAGTCCAGCGCCGAACCGAGCGGCGTCGGTGCCGGTGGTGCTTGTGCGGATGTGGATGCCGTGACGGTTGTGGTGGTTGACATGGTGGGCGATGTGGTAGGTAATGCTGTCAACTGCAATGTGCCTTCAAAGAAGGGGAGTTGGTTTTCCTCGGCTGCGTCTTCTTATCAAACCCAGCTTACGAGACTATCTCTCGCTATGTGACCTTGGGAAAATTGAAATGTTGAGTCAATGAGCGGCGGGATATCGAATGGCTGTTACTCCGCATGAGGTGATGGAGAAGAGCGGATAAGCACAACAGCAATGTCGCCATCACTCGGAAACCTCCGACCCTGGCGGTTGGAGACGGTTCATGCCCGACTAAGGCCGCTCCTTGCTTCCGATCCACATTTCGGCAAGATGGCGAGCTGCCGGCGCCCCCACCGCCCCATATCCGAAGCCACCAAACGATTCGCAGTGACATCTTATCAGTAGTCCCCGGCGTAAGCCGGACGACGTAGTCGATGACCTCGGTCATAGTTGCTCGAGTAAGTCATCTGACGGCTGTTAGTAACTCACCTCTCAGTAGGAAGGTTTCCTGGTCAAGAGTTCGAACTAGTTGTTTTTGTCATGCTCTCGGGAAGAACCATGAGGCCTAACTCTATGCCAGCGTTTTCCCCCGAAGTCATCGTGTGACCCAACTCGACTAATCGCAAGGATAGTTGTTTGCTACTAGCTTTCCTTGGTATTTAATAATACATGATATCTAGAAGTTTGCCTTTAAGTTAGAACTCTCTACTACGGACTAGCTCTATCTAAGCCTCACTTATCTTCCTACTATACCCGAATATCAACCTTATCGCATCACTCTTATCTTGATCTCTTCCTACTCAGCCATCCTCATCAAGAGATCATTCTTGATCTTTGAACAACAAGTGCTTCACAAACCAACGCCATCATGTCAACCAGCCTTCTATCCACGCACCGCTCAGGTCCTCCGGGCCATCCGGCACCCGACGCCAACTACGTCGACGCCGACACCCTCCGAACGACCTTTGCGCTGGCAATGTCCGCCATGTACAAGGCCGAAGTGCCCCTCTACGGCGACCTCATCCAAATCGTCCAAACCATCAATAGAGATGCCCAGTCCAAGCAACGCCACGGCCTCGGGCACGGGAACGGCTCCGGAGGCTCCGCAACAATAGAAGCCAGCATCGAGCGCCTAACCCTCGAACGGCACGGCGCAATCCGCCTCGGCACCCCGCAAGAACTCCACACCGTCCGCCGCATCTTCGCCCTCCTCGGCATGCACCCCGTCGGCTACTACGACCTCTCCGTCGCCGGCCTGCCCATGCACGCCACCTGCTTCCGCCCGACGTCGCCGCAGTCTCTGGAACGCAACCCCTTCCGCGTCTTCACCACGCTCCTCCGGCCCGAACTACTCAAGTCGGGGTCGGCGCGAGCCGTTGCTCTGGAGCTCCTTGCCAAGCGGAACATCTTTACTGATGCCCTGTTGGAGCTTCTAAGCACAGCTGAGGAGTGTCAGGACGGTCGTCTTACGCCGGAGCAAGGGGAGCGGTTCGTGGTGGAGGCGATTCGCACGTTTAGCTGGCAGCCCCTAGCGGCTGCCACGCACGAAGAGTACGCTCTCTTGCGGAGCGAGCATCCCATCTTGGCGGATATCGCGTGTTTCCGCTCGTCACACATCAACCACCTCACGCCGAGAGCCCTGGATATCAATGCTGCGCAAGAGGCTATGCTTGCTGCAGGTATGGCTGTCAAGAGCCGCATCGAGGGCCCGCCGATGCGCAAGTGCCCGATTTTGTTGCGCCAGACGAGTTTCCTTGCGCTGCAGGAGGGTATTCGCTTTGCGATTTCGGGGAGAGATGAGTTTGTTGATGGTTTCCACAAGGCTCGGTTTGGTGAGATTGAGGAGAGGGGCGCCGCCGTTACGCCTGCGGGAAGAAAACTGTATGACGGATTACTAGAAGAAGCGATGGCCACAGTGCAAGAAATCGGATCCTCTGCTGATGCGAAGATGGTGGACGAAACTTTTGCAAAGGTCTTTGAAAACTTTCCCGACGACTGGGACGAGCTGCGGCGGCAGGGCCTCGTTTACTCGGACTATCGATGCGCAGAAAATGCCAAAGAGAAGCTGCATAGCCTGAGAGGTGTTGACACAGCAGATCCCGTCTCTCTTTTGGATCGGCTCGTCTCCGAAGGTGTGCTCGAGGCGGTGCCCATCACGTACGAAGACTTCTTACCCTTTTCGGCTGCCGGAATCTTCCAGTCGAATATCCAGGCCGGGGCCAGCCCAAGCGAACCTACGATAGGAGATGATGATTCGACGCGACCCGATGTAGATGGCTACGAGAAGGCTTTGGCGAGAGAAATCCTCGACGCAAACGACTTGTATGCGCAAGCGCAGATGAAGAGTCTGCAGACCTGCGCAGAGGAGCTTGGTTTGAGTATGGACATGATTCCTCGACTTTATTAATGCCTAGGAGCAGGATTCCAGGTAGACACATAGAGAGCTCGCTCATGCTTTTCGTTCTGTCAGGATGTTAGGCTCACATTTTATTCCAATGATTGGAAAGATTTTTTTGATTTTTGCTGCAAACTTATTAGCCTATTTCGCTCAGCCGGTGTATCTCGGCGCCCCTAATTATAATATCATCCTCGTTCATCGTAATTCATGGCATCTGCTCCGACGTGTCGGCCATGACTGCTAATAATCTCGAACACCTTGAAGCAACTCTTGCACCAGCCACTCCGACTCTTGCGGAATCGACAAGTCATCCAACCCCATAATCCAATCCTGCATCGACGGCGCCGCACCACCACCAAAAGCAGCATGCATATCCGTCTCCGCCCCCGGACCCGGCCCGATCGCAGGCAACGAAGCATTACCACCAGGTGCCGCCGCCGCCGGTTTCTGCCCATCATTACAAACCATGCTAATCGTCCGCTGAGACAGCGCCTCAAAGATATCCCTATACGAAGTCGCCAGGTTCCACCGCTCGGCAATGATGATAAGAACGGTGGTGCACGCCATGCACGTCGTGACAACATCAGCCTGCCTCGTCGAGTCCCGAACGCGCTTAGAGCGCCACAGGCAGTAGAGGTACGTCAGCCCGCCGAGGAAGAGGATGTGCAGGCTGCCCCAGGTGAACTGGACCGAGGAAGACTGGTAGACGCGGCGGTAGAGCATGCACATCTCCCGCGCGCGCACCGCGCACTCTTCCAGCACCCGTTCCGTGGCTTCGTTGTCGTTGAGGTTTCCTCCGTGGCCGGCGCCGCCGTCTGGCGTGGAGTGGTTTGCTGCGGGTGATCCGCCCATCATGTAGTGGCGGTATAGCAGCAGGATCGAGTGGTCGTAAGCGAGCTGGAACCAGGAGCGAGAGGTGAAGACTGAGAGTGGGTGCGCCCTTGAGTAGTTTAGCTGATCGGGAGTTTTTGCGCGCCACTCCTCTAGTTCTTGACGGAGACTCTCTATTGTAGCTGTGTGTCCGCAACCGCATCGTCGAGTCGTGGGGGGATACAGGTTGTCACTAATCTTTGTCCACAGACGCCTTAGTTTGATGGCGTGGATGAAGCCGGTCATGAGTGTCGGCGGATCTGTGATGGATGTTCGTGAGGCTGACAAGAGTCCTCCTGAAGTCACATTTTCGTCATCGATATCTAGTGGTAACTGCGCATTGTTAGTATTTCATAATCAGAGGCTATCGCGGGAGGTACGAAGAGTGGAAAAGCCTTACCTCAACATCGATAGAGTCGTCTGGAATGCCCACTGGGCGGCCTAGTGTAAAGGCAACGACTCTGTCAATGTCATACGCGACCCAGAAACACCTTTTGGACATCTCCTTAGTCAAAGCATCTGTATTTTTGTGATATCTCTCGGCACTTCGGTGATAGCCGAGCTCAATGCAATGGCGTATAGCCATACCAGAGACCTTCCTAAGAAAGATTCAGACGATCCCGGAGCAATGAATAGGCCGGTGACTTACCATAGGCTTACGCCAACAGGTGATCTGATCGAATAAACGGCACAAGCCAGTATTGCCTGGATGGACTCTAGGCTGTCGAGGTCCAAGACTGCCGAGATGTGATCCAAGGCCATCGAATAGTAAGCCTGCCCACTCCTGCGTCAATAATCTTCGTCGCCTATTACGCCAAGTCCACGAAAGGGTAAAGCATACCTCAGCAGCATCATAGTGGTTTTGACCAAGGACTAAAGACCCTATTGAGTAGACCTATAAGTCGTATTAGAGCACTGCCAAGTAATTGACAGCCATATCTTGAGCATTTCAGAGTTCCGTCTTACCATCAAGACGAAAAAAAGCGTTGACCCGTTAACACTGCTCAAATCTCCGTCGAGACTTGCTTTGAGGCAGGTCTCTTCCCAGATCTGGAACGTCGGCTTGTGGAGAAATGGGTACTGGGGATGTATGTTGTTAAAGTACGCTTCCGATAAGTTTGCCCTCAGTGTCGGCGACGGTAACCTCAACGGAACCTCTCGGACGACTTCCGGATTGATATCCTTCCCCCGGCCTGCATGGCTATGCTGCGAGCTCCCGCCAGTGCTGGCAAGGCCCATAGTAGCGCTGACGATGCGCGAAAAGGAAACAGCGGAAGAAGGACCAAAATAATGCGGCTCTCGGCCGGCCGCGCTTAGACAGAGCAACGCAACCTCTGACGACAAGGTATCGACATGATGGTCGTCGACATCTGGAGAAGGCGCACGCAGCGCCCGCGAGAAGTCCACGTCTTCGAATGACGAGGGGTGAGCCTGGAGGTTCGGGGCGAGGGCAGATGGCATGTGCATGATGGACGTTGCTTGCGTGTGACCGCCGTTGTGAGAAGCGGCGGCGGCGTTTTGGTTGGCTTCACGACCACGACCGCCTCCACCCTCGTGATTGGCACCAAAGTGATCGAGGGCGACCTCGGGCCGGGCCTGCTGTAAGAGACCTTCGAGATAGGCAACGCGGGCCTCCAGCGACTTCATGTAGTCGCGCGGGCGATGTAAGCCGGTGCCGGGGTCTTCTACCAGGCAGTCTGGTTTTCCCCACATTAGCTAAAGTTCATCGTGCCGTCTCATGTTGCTGTTGGACCTTACCTCGTCCAGTCCTCACGCAGTTCTGGCACTTGGGACTTTGTCCGTCGCACTATGAATGAGTCAGTCAGCTCTGTCGTGTCTTTGCAAATCTACTAGAAGTCAGTTGAATGTTACCTTGAGCTTCTTTTGCTTGCAGCCGATGCAGGCCAACATGGTACGCTCGCCGAGTCGCGGGCGTTTGGCCTGATGGGTGCTACCGGTTCTTTGGCCACTCATTGTGAAGGGAGGAGGGGAAAAGAAAACCCAGCGCGTTCTAGACGCAATGGAAAACGAGAGGAAATGCCCAACGGCGCGGAACCGCCGATCTGCACAGTGGAGACTTTGAGAGTCAGATATCGCAACGGTTTGAAAGCATGTAAACGAGCATGGAGACCTGTCGTCCGGGAAAGTCTGGGGTACGTTTGCCGTATGTGTCAGCACTCGATTTCCGCAGAGTTGTTGGTTCGGACAATAATAGGGGGGCACGGAGGGGGGGTGTACCGGAGGGCCGCGCTACCGTTATCTCGTGCGGAGACTGGTGGGAACGAGTTAGCACTGAACGTCTGTTCGGAAAGTTCCTGGTCACCCCTAGAGTGCGATGTCTTGCGTTGTAAGTACACCTGTTAGTGCACGGAGATGGATGTCGAGTTCGGCCGGGAACGTTTGCTTTCCGGCATCGGAGGAGACCAACTAGCCCAGCTGGTTCGCGATGAGTCGAAGTATACTGCCGGTGTTTGAAAGTTGAGCCAACTATTGGCGAACCTTCTTGTTGTTCATCCCGTGTTTGCCTTGCGTATAGATGTCCCGTATCATTGAGGCCATCCACACAATGATACAAGGTGAAATCAATTGTGCTCGCAACGAAGGCTTGACCCACAGGATCCACCGCTACGGGTCTTAGTCGACTCACGCTTCGAGTTTTTCAACTTCCACAGTCTCTATGGCTCAGTCGGTAGAGCGTTGGTCTCATATTCATACATATGACTCTAGATCATCTAGAGATATCCAAAGGTCGCAAGTTCGAGCCTTGCTAGGGACAATTCCTTTTGTTTTTGCCACTATTTAGTACCTAACATGCCATTTATTGCCAAGATTCAACTATCTAAGCATCAATTGATGGTCAGGTATTGTCTCGCTCACTTTTTCCTCTTTTCTCCATCCAGCAAGCATAAGACTAGCTCATTATGTCGACAACGCAAACACAGGCATGGGTTTAGAGAGGAAAGACTGATTAACTACCTGGTTTTCTCTCTTGGTTGATTCAACGACATGTTTCAGAAAACGAAAACTAAGAAACAGTCCTAGAAACAATTCAGTATGCCTTTTCTTTCTTCTTGTGTTATCCAGCCAGCCTACAATACCTACATTCCGATCGGTTGCGCCGAATCATGTTCCTTGGCCCGAGTTGAGCAGCGATAAAAATAGCAGCAACCACTATCCAAACGGATTCAGCCGCTGTCTTCAACATTAGCACTTTAAACCACGACTCAGAACCTGCAACCCACTAAACAACACCTGCGCAACGCACTGTAAGTAGCTAATAACCTGCAGTATAACATCGCAGCGGCACATGATAGTTGCACAACACCTTCGTTCAACGTCGAAAGAAAGACCGCCGATAACCTCACCCAAATGCAGCCAACCCCCAAGATCAATCGTCCGGATAACTCGGGATGCTGCTAAGCCCTCGGCTACGCAGTAATGGGGCAGCAGATGGACTACTATCGTTCGCCAAGTCTGAAAGCTTTCGCCATCCCACCATACGTGTCATTTAACTGGAGCTCTTGTATCCGTAGATGCAGCGGGCGCACGCGTCACTCCTGAAAGTGAGTGAGTTTGACGTGGGGACTTAACTCACTCTCCCCAAAACACCAAAACCGCGAGACACACAACCATGAGGAAATTCTTCAGGGAAGCAAAGCAAAAGATCGAGGCCGAAATCGCCTCCATCACCGGCGACGATGAGCCTCAACAGCAGCAGCAGCAGCCGCCGCAGCATCAACAGCAGTACTACCCCCCTCAACCGCCGCATCAGGGGTTCGAGCGAGCGGTATTCGCTCATTTCATGGTTCGTGACATCCCCAAGGAGGCCTCCTCAACACCACACAATGAGATGCAAATGTGAAACTGACACACATCACCAGCTGAGCAATACCTGCGAGTACACCGAGGACGAGTACAAAGTCGACATCGGCCTCGCCCAGCAAGCGCACATTGACGCCTTCGTCCTAAACTTTGGCATCCACGAGGAAGCCATCGTCAAGCTCCCCGACGTCTTCGCCGCCGCCGAGCAGACGGGCTTCAAGCTCCTCTTATCCTTCGACTACGAAGGAGCAGGAGCATGGCCCAAGGAGCGCGTCATCGAAATCGTCAGCAGAGTAGGTCTCAATGTCCTGCCCTTTACTCAAAGTCTGAGATACTAATCGCCCCAAAAGTTTGGCCCCTCACCAGCCTACTTCAAACGCGGTCACCGACCCCTCGTCTCGACCTTTGAAGGCGTCGGCAACGCAGCCGACTGGCACGAGATCAAGGCCGCGACGAACTGCTTCTTCATCCCCTCCTTCTCCTCCATCGGCGCCGACAACGCCCTCAAGACGGGCGTCACCGACGGCCTCTTCAGCTGGGCCGCCTGGCCCCACGGCAACGCGCGCAAGATGGACGAGGGCCTCGACGCATCGTACCGCCACGCCCTCGGCCCGCACCGCCCTTACATGGTCGCCGTCTCCCCCTGGTTCTACACCAACCTGCCCACCTGGAACAAGAACTGGGCCTGGAAGGGTGATGACCTGTGGAGCGATCGGTGGAACGAGATCTTGGCCATGAGGCCCGAGTACGTGCAGATCGTGAGTTCACACATACGAAACCCACCCACCTTTCAGGAGCGCGATATTGACCACAAACGCAACAGCTCACCTGGAACGACTTTGGAGAATCGCACTACATAGGCCCCCTCCACGAAAAACAGTTCGGCGCCTTCGAATACGGCCAAGCCCCCTTCAACTACGTCCGCGACATGCCCCACGACGGCTGGCGCCTCCTCCTCCCCTTCCTCATCGACCTCTACAAATACGGCACCGCCACCGTCCGCCGCGAGGGTCTCGTAACCTGGTACCGCCTCCACCCGGCCCACGCAGGCGACGCCGGCGGCACGACGGGCAACACCGCCTCCCACGGCCAGGAGCTCTTCCACCCGTCCGAGATCATGGAGGACAAAATCGTCTTCTCGGCGCTGCTGACGGGCCCCGCGCAGGTTACCGTGAGCGTGGGCGGCGTCGCCGAGGAGGCTCATTGGGACGAGGATGATGGAACCCCTGCGCGTGGTGGCGTGGGCGTGTATCACGGTAGTGCACCGTTTAATGGCCGGACGGGCGAGGTTGTCGTGACTGTGCACCGCGGCGGGGATGTTGCGGCTCAGGTGCAGGGGCGGCCCATTACAACCGAGTGCCATCATGGAGGAATGAATAACTGGAATGCGTGGGTTGGCGCTGCCGAATCTCATATGGAAACACATGCTGTTGCGTATTTGGGTTAGTCGCGATGATATAGACCATAGATCACCAGGATAAATGCTAGAGATGAGAATCCGTGGTATTGGGCACACCACAGTAAGACGCATATTTGTTGTCCAGAGTATTTTGTGTTTTTACACACACTTGGTGTGAAACCAGGTATTATTCACAACCAGAACCTGAAAAAAATGAGGTGCATCTGCGGCGCTGTGTCGCCTTGCAGATGAGGGGGGATCCTACAGATACATATCCAGAACACCATCCCGCCAACCGTTCCCCGTCTGTACAAATCGCAAAAAGCCAGTGAAAAAAAGTATAGACATCTTGAATGGAATCACGGAGAAGCACCCCGTGACGGCCTTGGACCTGCCCCTGGGAACCAAGCAGACGCTCCCTCCCCTACACTTGTGCCATCATTATGAGACCGGATATTGCCATTCACCCGTCGTCTTGTTCATGTAACCAAGCTGCTCGGCTGCTGCCGTGAAGTCCTACTCCTCGTGCACGCTGACCATGGTACCGTTACCCTTAGCAGACTTCTTACCAAGTTTCAACATGCTGAGCCTCTTTCTGACGCTTCCACGTTTGACGATGCCAAGTGCGTCCACGGGCCGTTCGTCCTTGTACTCCCGCTCCTTCTCTGTCAAGTTCGTTCCTGCGTCTGAACTGCGCCGTCCGCCCGAGTCCGTGATCCATTCGCTGGTGGCATCGTTACTGCCTAGAATCCGCGGTATGTCGCTGGACGGAGCTCGGAAGAAGCTGCTGCGACGGTTGGCGTTGCTTGTGATGGTCACGTTGTCCTGTGTCTTGCTGAAGCTTCGGCTGCGGTGGCTAACAGTGTCCTCAGCTTCTGGTGTCGTTTGAGGGTCGCTGTTGGTCTGTTGCAATACTGGAGATTCCTTCTTACGGCCTCCCAAGAAGCTCAGACGTGTGCCACGCCCTTGGCGGATGGCAACTGGCTGGACCGTTGACACTTCTTCCACAGCGACTCCGTTCGTCATGGCACCAGCAATGCTCTGCGGTTGAGGCGATACTTGTTCGGTGGATGGCGACGACCGTCTGTATGTCGGTGAAGCATTGGCAGACTCCCTCGATGGCTGCTGAGGAGCGAAGAGGGCAATCTCAGGCGCAAATGTGCTTTCGAAGTCTGTAACGTATTAGCATGGGGCGATTAGGCAGGAGGTCTTGAGCAGGAGGAAGAAAGACTGACATCGTTGAAGTTCCTCGTGCCTTTCATTGAGGATTTCGTTGGTACTTCTAGAAAAGGTTGCGAGGCACCGCTTGATCATGATCGCATGGTCTACGAGGGCCATCTTAATCGCGTTGTCTTCGGGGTCAAGCTCAGGTTCAACCTCTTCTTCTTCTTCGAGCACATCGTGCTCGTCATCCTCGGGTTCTGCACGGGATGGCAGTAATTGGCGATAACATGCCACGCTATTTTCCGAATCTGGGTTGACCGACACACTTACTGCGTCGACGAGCAGCTGTGCATTCTCTTCGTCGCCCTCGGTAATCCGCTTCTCGATCACTGTCATTTCCTGCGTCTTCCTTACAATCCGCTCTAAGCCGGTCTGGCGGGCACTGAGTTTGATCTCCTCGGTATGCACGATTTCGCTGCGACGAAGAATTGTCGGGAATGGGTCGGCAGTGGTGAATACCATCTTCTCCGCAAAGTGTTCCTGAACAGGGCCAGATGTGCTGCGCTTAGAAGACACCGAGAAGCTCTGAGGGTGGGCGGATACCAGGTAATCGCGGATTACTTGGGCAACGCGAGCGCGCTGGAATACTTGGTGTGACAGATCGCGGTGCGGTGTGATGGCAGAAACGACCAAGAATTGGCCTTCAACATCGTCGACATCGCCACCGGTGACGATCTGAGCGGACGGGTACTGCTCCTGCATACGATCGGTGAAGGCAGAGGCGCGCTCGGTCGGCGAGCCTTCGTACACAAACTCCTTGTCACGGAGGCTAGAGGGGAAGCCCAGTCCTTTGTATACCACTTTGAAATACTTGGGCACCAGCTTGTCGCTTTTGGAAATAGTTTCGTAAATAGTGGCAATGGCTCGCTCGGTTCTGGCCAGTTTGGCAAAGTCGAATACGTTGCTCTCGTACTGCATTCGGAGTTCCTGGTAGGCAGCCAAAGCGCTAGTCCAGGCCTCACCCTCCTCGAAGTGCTTGATCATGTCGAAGTAGATGCGTTCCTTGCGCTCGAATGAGGTTTGGATGGGGAATTCCGGGTCATCCAGAGCAGTTACTTGCTTCGTAGGGTCCCAGTCGTAAAGGTCGGCGTGCAAACGGAGGGCCAAACCAGCTTCGCAGTGGTTCCTCGCCTCGCCCTGAAGAATGGCCAACTGATGGACGTATCTGATGAAGATTTCCTCCTTCTGCATGTCGCGGAGGAACTCCATCAGGCGTAACCGGTTGATCAGGTGGGATGCTTCGCTCGTGTTATCGCTGCTGTGTACGGCAACGAGAAGATCCAGGAACTCGTCGACAGTCGCCATCAGATCACGGATACCGGCGTAGAGGGGCTCGTCGGGAACGCTCGACAGCGGCGCGAATCTCTCCAGGACCTCGTTAACGAACAGCTTCTGCAGTATGCTTTCCGTCAGGGGCTTGGACTTGAAGTAGTGGTCCAGGCAGTCAATCATCTCGGTCTGGATGACGGACAAGTCTTCGCTCAGGGTCCATTCGCTGACAATCATTGTCTGCAACACCTCGACGGCCATGCGTCGCAAACCTTCGTGGACACTAAGACAAAGCTCGACGATGGGGCCAACAAGAGTAGGGACGTATTGAACCTGGTAGCCACCCATCTTGGATAGGCCATATCGTGCACGCTCGTCACTACTCGTCTCCCAACCAATGGCCTCCCAAGTCCGTCTGAGCAGTTCAGCGCCATGTTCTCGCACGTCGCCAGCGATCTTCCAGACTGCTCTCCGCTTCTGTTCAGGGAAGGTCTCCAGGGCCAGAGATGGGCTCCCAACAAGCTTCAGCATCGTCGTGAAGAACATTTTCCAAAGTTCCGTATTGAAGTTTTCGGCTTCGTCGGGATGGGGGAGGAAGGACTCGAGCAGTATGCTGGACAAGTACTGCAAGGTTCTCATTGTGGATTTGTGGTGATATATGTAGACACTCAGCCACTCGTGCGGGAATGCCTCACCCATCAAGATGCTCATATGTACGCGAAGGGTGTTCTCGAGGAGGGCGGTCAGGTCTCCTTCTGTTAGTTCCAGCTGCATGCCGCTCGGGGAATTCGAAACTGCCGATAAAATTGCAGAAAGCTCAACCAACGCTTCGTCAAAAGTAGACTCCTCCGCGATAGGCTTGGAGGGAAAGGGGTATGAAGTAGGGAAAAGAAGTGAAAGACGGCTGCGAGGCTTGCTCGAAGTGGCCACAATAGAGAGGTATGTATCGATGATCTTTGGTAGGTAGTCGGGGATCTCAGGGCCGAGGTTGTCGATCTGACCGGCAAGGATTGAGCAACAAAGACGAACTTGCTCCTTCCATGAATCAGTGACGTCCTCATTATGACCCCAGTGCGGCGCGATCCATCGGACGGTATTGGCCGTGAGAGCTGACTTTTGTTCCGGGTGCGAGAAGATATCCAGCTTGGAGTAGTTGATGATGAGCACAAGCTTGTACAGGACCAGCTTGCCCTTAACAAGCGAACACGAGTCGAGGAAATCGATAGCAATGTGCAAAATCTCCTCAGTCGTCAGGAGTCCAGTCAGCTCTGGCAACCAAGTGTGAAAATGTTGAACAGCTAACGTCTGACTGCCAACAAGGACAGGTGCATTGCTGCGCATCATGGAATCGAGAGCTTTGAAGATGTTCCTCAATTCCCGAGTGAAACCAGGAGCGGAGTGCGAAGTCGTGATGCCTATTCCGGCTTCCTTGGCCTTTTGCTGGCCTCGAGCGTGGGTGATGAACTTGAGGATGTGTCGCACGACCTTGAAAGTGGAGCGGAGCTTCCTCGAGGTCTGGGCCTCGGTAGGCTTCTCCAGCAGGCGAGTGAACGATCTCACCAGACAGGCCGTGGCGAACGGGTAGTTGAAGCGGTTTTCCGCATAGTGGTCGACGAGCGGGCCGAGATTGAAACGTCTGTCATGCACAATGCCCAGGACTCTAACCAGTGCAGTGAATACAAGGTCTTCGTATTCGTCATTGCCCGAGTGTTCCACCAGGACGCCAAAGAGACCATCAAGAACGTCGCTAAGGAGCTTGACAACCTCGATTTCGGGAACGAAGATCAGATGCTTCAGTAACATCGGGATATCCTCCTTGGCAGCTTCTTTCCACTTGAGCAGGCCCAAGACGATGCGATCTTGGGAAAATCGTGTGCTGCATAGGTATGTGTCGACTCGGAGGAGCGCAAGAGGACCCGTTACCTCGGAAGAGTGTTCGTCGTTTCCTCTAGCACTCCATTGCAGTGATAGATAACCCCCTTTGCCGGTCGGGCCAGCTTGAGCCGTCGAGGTAAACTCATCCGTCTTGTATAACAGCAGGGCATGTGCTCCGTCTCGGACAAAAGCCTCTTGGTTCCACAGTGGCATGTGGGCAACCGCGAACGGCGCATTCGGCATGTCGGATAAGAACATGACTATGTGCGAAGTGAAGACATCTTCTGGTGGAACAGCAAGTCGGACGGTCTGGCTCCAGTGCTCCCCCCTCTCAACAGCCACAGATTTCCACGTGGTAATTCCTTCGGTGTTGGACGAAGAAAAGATGCAGTTCGGAATCTTCTCCCCGCCTGTTCTCCGTACCTCGAGTGTAACCTGTAGGTTATTCCCGTGTACACTCCCAGAGAGTGTGGCGGGGTTGCCTGCATATCTGGACAACAAATTTTGCTTGGAGAGCGCAGCAGTATCGAGAGTAACATAAATGTCCGATCTAGCTTTTGTAGGCGCGCCAGAGAAGCCCATCTTGTTTGTTTTGCGAATGCCAGCCAACAAAGTTGGCGTTATCTTGACCAGCGCATCCACATCCGGGTGATTGAAGGACTTGAGATGCACCTGGACTCGCTCAGTTCGGCGTGACTTTTCGTAATG